TGAAAAGGAACCAAACATGAGTATGTACATGCTTTTTACTTAATTTTGTCTCCCCTTCTTTGACTGTATGGATCATGCTTAAAAATGGCATAATATTCAGCCAACACATTTTTTTTCCTATTTGTTAAGAATCTAAGTCTCTTGTTTTTTGATATTTTTTGATTTTTGGAAATTAATATTTTCAAAGTATCATAATTTATGATGAATCAGTATTGATTTACCATTGATTAGGTTGCAGCAAAGGGTAAAAAAATATTTCCCTTAAGCTGGATCACTAGTCATAAGAAATTTATATTACCTATATAATCTATCGACCAACTTAGGAAGCCTTTGGTTTCAATGAATTGGTCTGGGTGTACCAGGAAATGGTACATATGAAATGTTTGCAGATCCAACTTAAGAAGAATCTACTTTGTTTCAATGAATTGGTCTGGGTGTACCAGGAAATGGTACATATGAAATGCTTGCAGATCCAACTTAAGAAGAATCTACTTTGTTTCATAAATTTATTTTGTTACCTATTGTGGCCCTTTGCTCTGTTTCCTTAGAAATCCTTCAGCCATTTCCCTCTCATTCTTTTCTACAGGAATGGTATCATTTGACATGTAGCTCTAAACTGTTCATGCTGCTTCTAGGTTGTGTAGCACTGTTTTCAGGACATTTAAGAGTGTGTTCTGCAGATCTTACATCAATATGCTTTGGAAAGGCAAAGCAGTTCTTATCTACCTGTATTAAAAAAGAAATGAAGGCCTGGCTTTCCTGTACTACTGTCTCATTTTTTTAACTAAACCAAACATACTAATACAGGATAAATTCTTTAAGTAGGCAGAGCCCTGACAAATAATGCACAGAGAGACAAGCCAATGCCATAAGCTCTACTTCAATGGTAACTGGACTCAAAATACATTTGTCTTTGCTGTACCACAGATACAGCAAATTTAATGAAAATGGTTTAAGAGTCTGTGAAGGATAACATACAGTGTATATCTGCTAAAAATGTGTGTCACTATGTACATTGTGGTTAAGAGGAGGTAAGCCAAAGTGGGAAAATAACATTACTGACAGTGCATATTTGTAAAAAAAGTGAACTATACCAAGAAGCAGTCAAATTGATTAAAAGGAAACATGGGATATGAACACAAGTTTTCAAAATAAACTTTCATTTCTCTGCTATCTGAAAAGGAATATCAGTTTTGATCTCACATTCAAATTGCTTTATTTACCTTATGCAGCTCCTTTGTTCTGTGTGGAGTTGTTCTAAAGAATGTCAGCACAGAATGGACATTTGACATCCATATAGAAACTTCAGTCTGAACAGACTCTAATGCCAAATCAGATTGGTGGCACACACACCATGCAGTAATAATATCTCTTCCAAGGTGGTCTTTCAGAAATTTCCACAACCCACCATTCTTCCTGGTGTTTGCACTCTCTCTGTCTGTGGTTACCTTGTTAGATGTACACGACTGTTAGGGTTTTTGTATATGTACTGGATTCTTTATAGTAGGTGTCTGTGACTTGTTGGTGATAAATTCGAACAATAATCGGACAGCACACAATCCACTTGTTTTAACTTAATATATTCAAAGCAAGTCAAACGTATGTACAAAATTCTTTACACTATAGGATATCACAGTTGTATCTAAAACTGAATAATTCTCTTTTCTTGTCAAAAGTTTACACAGGCTGATTTGGGTACTTTAGAATCCAATTGATAAGACAAATTATTTTTCTCTACTATTTCTTACTATACAATCTGAGATAAATCCATTTACATTACCCCATGGGTTACCACAGTTTTATCTCGAACTTTAAATAATTGTCTCCTTTTCATTGAAGTCCACACAGATGGGTTCAATTATTCTAGAACACCCTTTAACAAGAAAAATTATTCTCTTTATCTCTGTTAAACTGTGACACTTACATTAAAGTATCCCCCCATTACAGCTAAACTAACTTAACTTTCACCAACTTTACATTTTCTAAGTTCTTATTTACTGATTCTTTAGAAATCGCCTGTCACCACTAAACTGTCAATCACTCAATCTAAATCTGTCTAATTATTTCTCAACTGACTGAACTTGCTTTCTTTTTCTATCTGCACATATTTATAATGCACAACAGAATAATCTAAAAGTAGCAACAATATTACTGAAGCCTAGTACAACAATTAAATTGCACACACAACGTATGTACGACTCGTACCGAGTAACCTAATGAAATCTGTCATAACTATCGCTTTTAAGATAATTAACTTTAAACACTGTTGTAATGAAAGCTAAATAATTATTAAATATTAAATCACTAAATGATAACTTACACTCAACAATATTGTATATCTAACAATGACCATTTTAAGTTTAATGCAAGCATAATTATTTAGATGCCCCCCAGTGGCACAGCTGTATGTCTGCAGAATTACAACGCTAGAATCCAGGTTTCGATACCAGTGGTGGGCAGAGCACAGATAGCCCGTTGTATAGCTTTGTGCTTAATTACAAGCAAACAAACAAAATTATTTAGATAGTTTATACGGGGCAGGTGTAATATTTAGTTATTTTTAGAAGCGACATTTTATGTTTTTTTTTTTATGTAACTACTTTAGAATCATATATAGTGTGTTTCAATTGTCATGAATTAACTGTTTATAATAGTGAGATTATTGAAATATTTTGCTAGAACTTTCTGAGTTTTTAGT